ACAAAGGTAGCATGGATATTTACAGGATCACTGAGACCCCAGACTGCTAAAATCTCTAGGTACAGACATGTAGCTGGAATCCCAGTCACTGCGGATTCTCACAGCTGACTTTTTCTTCTCTTCCTTTCCTTTTTTTTTTTTTTTTGACACAGAATTTTTTTTGTTCTCCTACTGCCCCCGAGACAGGGTTTCTCTGTTGCTTTGGAGCCTGTCCTGGAACTAGCTCTTGTAGATCAGACTGGTCTCAAACTCACAGAGATCCACCTGCCTCTGCCTCTCAAGTGCTGGGATTAAAGGCATGTGCCACCACCACCCAGCCCTTGACACAGACTCTTAAGTAGTCCAGGATAGCCTAGGACTTTTTTTTTTGTAGTTTTGTGCAGAGGATGAACTTGAGTTCCCAACTCCCCTAGTGCTAGGATTTCAGGCATGTGCCATCACACCTGTTTTGCTTTACTGTGGCGCTGAGGAGTCAGACCCAGCGTTTCATTTGTGCGAGGCAAGTGTTCCACCAGCTGAGCTACACCCGCGGCTCAGCATCTTGATTACATACCTCGGAGTTGGTCAAAGATGACTATTCTGGGCTATGACTCAGACACGTTCTCAGAGACCTCACCAGCCCCCGATGTCATTTCTGATACCGGGCTAAAGTGACCTTTAAATAGTTTCAGAGAAAAAAAGTGTGTGAGAGTCTAGGCCAGGAGTAGGACATCTCTTGTCACCATAGAGCAAGGCCTACATTGACCTGACCCAACCCAAGCACAGCGAGGCTTAAGGGACTGACACCATAGCAGAGCTAGCGTAGTTACTCAATATGGTGGTCGAAGAGTTGAGGCTGCAGTGTCGGTGAACTGGTCACTCAACCAGGCTGTCCCTGCACGGTGACCTTGGCACGCTTTCCCGCTCCTTAGCCCTCTGTGCCAATTCTCTGACCCTCTCATTGATTCCGTGCAACGCCACATTCTTCTAGCACATTACAGGAAGCAAGCTATCAAGAGTCCGTTGCCGGAGCAGATATCCTGACCAGCACTCTCCGTTCTCCGTCAAAACCCAAAGGACTTGTTTCCTCAGTGGCTGAGTGGGCTGCTGGCAGGCTGTCAGACCGCGTGAGAATTGCCTCTGTAGAAAAGAATGTGATCCCCTAGGGTCAAGCGCAGCTACTGCAGAAGTCTGGATTCAGACACTGCCCCCACGTTACTGCAGGACTCCCCATGATGCTTACTTAGTTCATCCGAGTCAGATAAGCGATGGTGTGGAACTGGGCTGTAAAGCGTGGGTCACACACATGTTAAAAATTACTCTTTGCTTACTTAAAGTCCAAGTCTGATCGGAGTCCACGCTTTTACTAGCTAATTCCGGGACCACTAAACTCAAGGCAACTGTGATCCTACCAGCCCCAGAGCCTTCTCTGGTTTAGCTGAGGCTCATGCCAGGGCACCCACCACGTGGTTGCTCCTCCTCTCTAATACTCCAGCTCCCTTCTCTCTCCTCTTCCTCCCTCTCTCCCTTCTGTGGTCTCATCTTTCTTTGTTTGGTTTTTGAGATACTTTCTCATTATGTAGCCTAGGCAGCTCTGGAACCTACTATGTAGCCCAGGCTGGTGTCAAACTTATGGCAATTTTTTTCCCTCAGCCCCCCTAGTTCTGGGATCACAGGCGTGTGCCGCCACGATCAGTTTCTTTGGCTTCCCATTGTCCCCCCCCTCATTCTTTTCTTAAGATCAGATCTCACTCTGTCTCTCCAGATGGACTGAAACTCACTATGTAGACCAGGATGGCCTCACACACAAAGAGCTCCACCCCCAAGTGTGAGATTAATGGTGTGCACCAAGTGCGACTTCCTTTTCTCATCTTTAGTGGTATGGATGTTCTGTCTGCATGTATGTCTGTGTTCCATATGGAGGTAGTGCCTATGGAGGCCAGAACAGGATGTCAGATCTCCTGGACCTGGATTTACAGATGGCTGTGAGCCACGATGTGGGGTTGAGAATTGTACCTGAGTCCTCTGAAAGAACAGCCCGTGTTTGTAGAAATTTCTCCAGCCCCTAGGAATGACATGGGGCTGGTGAGGTCTCTGAGAACGTGTCTGAGTCATAGCCCAGAATAGTCTTCTTTGACCAACCCCAAGGTATGTAATCAAGATGCTGAGCCACGGGTGTAGCTCAGCTGGTAGAACACTTGCCTCGCACAAATGAAACGCTGGGTTTGACTCCTCAGCACCGCAGTAAAGCAAAACAGGTGTGATGGCATGTGCCTGAAATCCTAGCACTAGGGGAGTTGGGAACTCAAGTTCATCCTCTGCACAAAACCCCTCCCAAAAAAGTCCTAGGCTACCCTGGACTACATAAGATTCTGTATACAAAAGAAAGGAAAGGGAAACAATAAAAAGACAACCGTGGGTCAACATAAGCCCATCTGTAAACCCAGCACTTGGAAGGTGGATGCGCGGAGAACAGAAAGAAGTTCAAGGTCATCAGAGTTGAAGGTTGTCAGAGTCAAGTTTGAGGCCAGCTTGAGCTCCATAAGACTCTTTCTCAAAAAAAAAAAAAAAAAAGCAAAATTTTTTGTATCCTTTTAATGATAGTTTGATGTCATTGCTCATTTGGGCTTTGATTTGTTTAGAGATAGGTTCATCTGTGCTGCCCAGGCTGTGCCCTAACTGCTGGGCTTAGCCAATTCTCCTGCCTTCCACAGGGTTGAGATTCCACCTAATGCAAGGTAACCTTCATTTCAGAGCTACTCCCTGTACCACCCCAATGCATTTGGTTCTCTTCTTTGCAATAGGGTGCCGAATGTATTGGTTTGCCTGTGTTTGAGTAGATCCTTTGTTGATTCCTCTACTTTGCATTAAAAAAAATGTTTTTGAGGCAAGATCTAGAACCTGCTTTGTAGACAAAGATGACCTTGAACTTCTAATGCCCCTGCCTTTGCTCTCACGCGCTGGAATTCCAGGTGTGCTCTTCAACACTCAGGTATTGTTTTTAATATTTATTTATTGATTTTTATGTGAGTTGGTGTTTTGCCTGCATGAATGTCTTGTGAGGGTATCCTGGAACTGGAGTTACAGACAGGTGTGAGCTGCCATGTGGGTGCTGGGAATTGAACCCAGGTCCTCTGGAAGAGCAGCCAGGGCCATTAACTGCAGAGCCATCTCTCCAGTCACAGTGCGCAGTTTTACAACCAATGATTCTAGCAGGCAACACTTTCATTTCCCTGGGTGACAGAGTCACCGCTGTTTCTCACTCTTGGAGGGGCCTGTGACGAACTCACAGTATGTTTGGAAGCTAAGTAAGCATGGTGAGGTTCATAATGTCAACACTTGGTGGGCTGAGGCAGGAGGAGCCTGAGATCAAGGTGACACCCCTATTACTCAGGAGACTGAGGTAAGAGAATGGCTGTGAATTTGAGGCCAGTCTGGGCTGCATAGTGAGTTTCTATGCTAAAGAACAGTTTCCTCTAAATAAATTAAAAAAAAAAAAGAATAGTTTCCTCCTCCACAGTAAATATACCATCTTTTCATTCGGATGAGAACGGCCCCCATAGTCTCATAGATTTGGATGCTTTTGGTCTCCATTTATTGAGTCTTTGGAAAGGACAAGGAGGTGCAGCTTTATTGGAGGGGTGTGTCACTGGGGGCGGGCTTTGAGGTTTCAAAAACCAGTGCCACTCCCAGCTGGAACCCCACCACCACGGCCTCCTTGAGCTCACAGATCAGGATGTGAGCTCTCTGCTACTGTCCCAGCACTGTGCCTACCTGATGCCATCCTTTTTGCTGTGATGTTCATGAGTTCATCCTCTAGAAGTATAATCCCCAATAAACTCTTTCTGCTGTAAGCTGCCTTGGTCATGGTGTCTTAGCACAGCAATAGAAAAGCAGTTGAGACAAATGATGTTTCAGAATCCAAGGCTGGACTCTTATTCCTCAGAAAAACCGGTCAGTCTTGGGGCCGAAGAAAGGCTGACTTAAGTAGCCAAATGATGGAGAAGGGAGAGCTTTGCTTGTGAATGAGCCGCTCAACCCTAATAGAGTAGGGTGCTTAGAGGCAGTGCAGGAATATGGGGCACAGGAAGGCAGACACCGCGGAGGGATGCTCTTGTCCTTTCTGGGATCAGGGGAGATCCTCCAGAGTTGAGTGGCCTTTCACTCTCATGGTCAGACATTCCACATACCTTGACTGGTGGTGACTTGTAAAAAATATTTATTTACTTATTTTTATCTGTTGGCTGTTTTGTCTGCATACATGTCTTTGTACCATATGTGTGCCTGGTAGACCCCCCTGAGACTGTAATTACAGACCATTGTGAGCCCCCATGTAGGTGCTGGAAATTGAACCCCAGTCCTCTGAAGGAACAGACGGTGCTCTCAACTGCTGAGCCCTCTCTCTGGTCCCAGCTGAGGATATCTTTAACCTCGGTGGGGGAGGAGCGAGGCTAGGCAGGTTTAGGTCAAACTAACCCTGCGCTGTAGTCTGACAAGACATCTTTGACATGTTCAACATGCCTACGTGCAGAGCCGAGTAGGAACTGCCCCACAGGTTAAGGCAACAAAGGAGACAGGTGTGATGTGTAGCAGAGATACCAAGCAATTGCATTCCTTTCTTCTAGCCCACTGGAAGTCTGAAAATCAGCCAGAGACGGCTCCAAGTGCCTGTAAAATAGCCAGAGCAGCTGCCGTCATGACCTACGTAACCCACAACCGAGGCGTTACCTGCTGCAAACTCACTGGGAAAGGGGCCATGTCATGCTCAGTTGTGCGATCTCCGAAGTCCGCATGTGTAAGTCAGCTAGAGGAATCAGGGTTCCACTAGGTAAATAGCCAGGCACGGTGGCAAACGCCTTTAATCCCAGCAAATCTTTGAGTTTGAGGCCAGCCTGGTCTACAAAGCAAATTTCAGGGAAGTTAGGACTGCACAGAGAAACCCTGTCTCAACACCCCCCCCCAAAAAAAAAAAAACTTAAGGGAGAGAAGTTTTTCTCATAAAGTTTGGAAATACAGTTTATTTATTGACATTCATTTACTGAAAGGCTGTAACTGAAGGACTGCCCCCTGAAGAAATGCACAGACTGAGTACAAGACAAAGGGGGTCTGCAGAGCTGCCGAGAATCAGGGTGCTCACCACATCTGCTGACCAAGAGGCTTCTTTGCTAGTTTTGTGCTGGATCTTGATACGGGACCTTGTACACCCTAGACCTGTGCTGTGTTGCTGAGCTCCTCCTGCAAGATAGAACGTTTGTTTAGCTAGATAAGGATATGTTGTTGTTTCATCTTGCCTGCCTAACGTACCTGATTGGTCTAATAAGAAGCTGAATGACCAAATAGTTAGGCAGAGGGGACATAGGAGGGGCTGGTGGGCAGAGAGAATAACTAGGAGGAGGAACCTAGTCTCCAGCTAGAATGAGGAAGAAAGAGAGGGAGATGTCCAGGGTCAGCGAGCCAGGCAGCTGCCAACCAGCCAGACATAGAGGAAGCGGCAAAGCAGGACTACAGAATGAAAGGTAAAAAGCCCCGAGGCAAAACGTATATGAAGAGAAACAGTTTAAATTAAGTTATAAGAGCTAGTGGGACAAGCATAAGATAAGGTCAAGCACTCATAACTAATACTAAGTCTTCATGTCATGATTTGGGGGGCTTCTACAGTATCCCCAAAGGGTTATGCTGGTGTTGATTTAAGTTGGGGCATTACAATAGAATCCAGAAGGATTATGGGATGGAGAGTTGGCTCATCAGTTAAGAGTGTTTGCTGCAAAATCGTGAGAACTGGAATTCAGATTCTGTCTCCCCCATTATAAATCAGACATCCCTTGAATGCCTGTAACCCCAGCTCCAAGGGTGGGAGACAGGAAGATTGCTGGGGCTTGCTGGCTTCTAGCACAGCCAATGAACAGGAGCTCTAGGTTCAGGGAGACATCCAACTCAAGGGGATAGGTAGAAAGTGACAGATGAAGATACCTGACCCCCTTTTCTAGCCCCAACATGTATGCACCTGCACACACATGTGTAGATGTGGATTATATGGAGATAGGGACACACATGGATAAATAATTAAGCAATCTTTTTTTAAAGGAGTAATCACCCATGATATCTCAACAATATGGCTTCCTAAGGCCAAAATAAATACAACACCAACAGACAAGGCCGAAATAAGAACTACAACACCAATAACACAGAAGGGAGTAATTCCATGAGACCTCACTCCTGCACTAAGAACTACAGGCAACTAAGGAGCACAGAGAGGAGTGGTACTCTTTCCCAGGGAAGAGCCCCTGATGGGCTATCCAATACCAATGGGCCAGCCCTGAAATTATACACATACAAACAACGCTAAGTGGATTGAGCAAGGTGTGTGTGTGTGTGTGTGTGTGTGTGTGTGTGTGTGTGTGTGTAAAAAACAATAACAAAAAAAGGGGCATGAATTTGAGAGGGAGAAAGGGGAGGTGTGGGAGGGGTTAAAAGAGAAAAGGAGATATGGTGTAAATAAATCTTAACTTCAAAAACTTGAACAAAAATAAAGATTCAAGCGTGACTGGTATTATCTTAGTTTTGCTACCTGTGGCCACTGCCCTGGTGAAGTGCACTTTCTCACATGGAACCTTCCAGAAGCCTGTTCCTGGGCAGCTGGAGGAAGCTGGAGATTCTCGGGCGCTGACCCCACCCTGTGCCAGGTCCTTGATGGATGAGTCCGTCTGACTGGAATAGGAATAGAGTCACAGGCAGAGTCAAGCGCGAGGCTTCACCGTGGGCTGCAGTGAAGGCTTGACGGCACTCCAGAGCCTCGCTCTTCGCCCCGTTCCTGTCCTGCTCCGTGCCAGCTGCCTTTTGAGAGCGATTCCTCAATACATCTTGTACTTGTCTCCTCATCTCGGGGCTGTTCCCTAGAGAGCCTGACCTAAGACAGCGAATGAGAAGTTGTGGTCAGTCCCTGAAGAAGGGAGCATTGTGCTAGAAAACGGTGTCGTAGGAAGCTACTCCAGGCAGGGAGGGCAGGCAAGGCCGCCCTAGAAGGGGGCTTTCAGCCAAGAAGGTTTCAGATGTAAGAAAAGGCAGAGGAACTGAAAATCAACAAAGGGCGCAGGAAAGTTCGGCATCGTGTTTTGGGAACAGGACAAAGACAGATGGCAGGTGGGGACGGGGCATGGAAGTCAGAGAACACTCCGGCAGCGACGCATAGGCTGTGTGCATAGGGACTTTGGAGCAAACAGCAAGTGGGCCTTTCGCTGGGGTGTGATATGAGCTTTAATAAGCGGTTGCTCTGCCCGGTTCAAGCAAGGTATGGAGAGGGACAGCGTGGATGGTGCCCGAGGAAGTGAGAGAGAAAAGTGCGTTCCGGGAGGATCGGCAGGGCTCCGTTCACGTTAGCCAGGAGCAGCTAGAGCGATGAGTGAGTTTCTAACTTTGCCATTGAGATGGTTTGGAGACATAGGAGCCTATATACAATCCAAATTTCTTGAGAGCCAATGTGGAAACTGAGACCTGTGGAAGCTGAGTAACCGGCGCCAGTTCATCACTAGTACACAGAGTACTAGAAAATTGAAAGACAGTTGTAAATACCAATCTAAACTGGCTCTAAACACGGTGGGCTGTTAATACTGAGAGCGGCAGAAGGCTTGCAGCCCGTAAGTCCAGTTGGTCTCAGATTCACTGGTGGTCTTCCTGCCTCAGTTTCCTCCCAAATGCTGGCATTCCAGATACCAGCGCCCTGCCTGGCTTTAAGAAGTATGACTTGACATCTGGGCAGTGGTGGCACACACCTTTAATGCCAGCACTGAGGAGGCAGAGGCAGGCAGATCTCTGTAAATCTGAGACCAGCCTGGTCTACAGAGTGAGTTCCAGGACAGTCGGGGCTACCCAGAGAAACCCGGTCTCAAAGAGAAAATAAAGTGTATCTTGAAAGTTCTTCAACTCCCAGCGGCATGGGCTGCAGAGCATCGAACAGTCTCTCCACTGTGGCAGAACAGTAATGCCTCTTCAAAGCCGCGGGGCGAGCTGGAGGGAGCTGTGGGGAGACCGGGCCATGATGCTGGAACTCTGGCCTTCTCCCACTTTCCCCTTCAGCTTAGCACTGCCAGGCCCCTCCCACCCAGGCAGCCCTCACTCCAGCCAGGATCTCTTTGTGCCTCTTGCTGAACACAGCAAGCTCATTCATGTCTTTGTCAAAGGCACAGGCTGTTCCCGGTCTGGGGGACAGAGAGCAGGGTTCCTCAGCACCCATTCCCTTCTGGCAACATCTCTTCTTGCCTTTAGTCCTCTGCTCTAAAATTAGCTTCTTTGCCATGTCCCTCCTCCAGGGAGCATTACCTCTCTGTATTCCTCACACGTCCTGTGGAGACAGGTGCTATGGACTTAACTAGCCCCAGTTTGCAGGCAAGAAATGTATGACCCTCTAGAGCAAGGCTACTGTAGGAAAGGGTGTAGGGTTGACAGGTCCCGTGGCTCTGCTAACCCTGGCTGGGTGAGGTGCAGGTGGAATAGGAGGAGGCCCAGGTCAAGGCCAGCTGGGTTATTTTAGTTTAATTCTGAAACTTCAGAACTTTGAAGAGGGACCATGGCCGTGAATGAGTGACTTTATTTATTTGCCCTCCCCTCTCACCTTTTTGTTTTTCTTTTTAAAGACAGGGGTCTCACTATGTAGCCCTGGCTGGCCCATGGAGCTCACCATATCAACCAGGCTGGCCTCAAACTCACAACAGAGATCTCTCTGCCCTCTGACCCACTGGTGCTGAGGTTCAAGGAGTGTGCCCCATGCCCCGAATCTGTCTGCCTTTTTAAAGATGCCTGTATGTGCAGCTCTTCAGCAAAGTAGCTTCCATTGGTTTGACTGCACAGGCCCTGTCAAAGCAAATGAGACCCAGACTGTTCTGTTTCTGCCACAGGCCTCCCATAGGAACTGGTCCAGCAACAGCTTCCATTTATATAGTACTTCGCAGCTTCCAAGCTACCAAATTGTTTCTTTATTTCTTTTGTTCTTTCTTTCTTTCTTTCTTTCTTTCTTTCTTTCTTTCTTTCTTCCTTTCTTTCTTTCTTTCTTTCTTTCTTCCTTTGGTTTGTTTTTGTTTTGATACAAGTTCTTATAAAGTTCGGGCTGGCCTCCAGCTCCATACACAGTCAAGGCCGACCTTAACTAGGTCTCATCCCACCCCATCTCCCCATCACTGGGATCAGAAGCATGTGGCACCATGCCCAGTTTGCAAATTATTTCATTTTTAATTTTCAACCGATTTTGGACGACGAGTTGATCCCCTGGATAGAGATGCTTGCTACCAACCCTGAGGTCCATTCCTGGACAGATGAAAAAAACTGACTCCTTTAAGCTGTCCTGTGACTTACATGCTCACACGCGCACGCGCGTGCACACACACAATCATGAGTATATACCACAAAAACATGAACACATTCAGTGAAGTAAACACATGTTAAAACAAAATTTTCCTATAAAATCAAAGCAATTCTGATGTAATCCTAGGCCTTAGATGAAGAAACTTAGAGGAAGGCTTGGGAAGGAAGACACTCCCGGGTACTAGAGTCAGGATTAGTACCTGGATATCACTAATGCTCACCTCCTGAGGATAGTTGTTCCTGGGGAAGCAGATTTGTTTCCAGAATCCACTCCTCTAAAAGCTTGAGAAAGTTCTAGTTGATTGACCTTCAGCACTCAGGAAGACCTTCTCGAGTGTGGTTTGTGTCCTGGCCAAGAAAAGCATTATTACAGGGACTTGCAATTACGGGGCAGTTTGCAGCATGCCCTGACCCAACCAGGAAGAGTTCCATCCCCAGCTGATAAATGACCTGCGTCTATAAAAGAGAGAAGATTCCAAAGAAAATAAACACAGCAAATCGCTCCTTGTAGTAGGAAAGTTCCAGTGTGGGGGCAGAATAAAGAGCTTTTCATAAGGAAGGAAGGCAATTATTCGGGGGATAGAAATAGAAAGTATTGTGAAAAAGAGACCCACCAAGGACAATAATTGGGATGGAACTGTGGGCAAGAAGGAAAAGTACAGTGTGGCCCAAGGAAAAGGGGCAAAATGTCAAAAATTAGCGTTTATTGAGCAATCTAAAACATCAAGAAGTGAAGGAAGTCAAAGGTTTAGGTCAAATAAATCAGTGTTGAATCCCACTGGTGAGGACGTCTTGGGGAATGCCCACGAAGGAGAAGAGGGACCCTAAGAACTGTTTACTCGGCTGGAGCTGTCCTGTGACCCTAATCATAGTAGCTCATTTACCTGGGGAGAAAGCTCAGCAGACATGAAGGCCCGAGTGTGGATCCCCAGAATCCCACACAAATGCAAGAAGTCTGTGTTAGCTAAGGTTTCTCTGGCTGTGACAAAAAAAAAGCAAGTTGGGGAGAAAGGGCTTTATTTGGCTTACACTTTTATATTGCTATTAATTATTGAAGGAACTCATTCAGTGTCCCCTAATGTCAGTATTCTGTTTTATCAGGGTACATTTCTCATACTTAAGAAAGAGCTGAGGACGTAGCTCAGTTGGCAGAGGTCTGGCTCATCCAGTACTCAGCCCTGTGTTTAATCTCCAGTGCTACATAAGCTTAGAGCAGGGGTGCACACCTCTGCTACATAAGAGCTGGAGGCCCCTCTCAAAGCCAAATCAAACCAAACTAAATACACCAAGAAATTTGCACTGATAAAAATCCTAGTAACTAAATTACTCTTTATTCAAAATTTGTTATTAGGTTTCCCCATAAAGTTATAATTATTGTGGTGGCAGGAACAATTACCTACAATCCCAGCAATTCAGCAGGCAGAAGCAGGAAGGGCGTGAGTTGGTAGCCAATCTGAGCAATGTATCCTGACTCCAGAATATATAAATTATTAGCCAGGCATGGTAAAGCACACTTCTAATTCCAGGACCCGGGAGATATAGGCAGGAAGGAGGATCAGGAAGGAGTTTGAAGCTGTCCTTGGCCACATAGCAAGTTCAAGCCCAGCCTGGACTACAGGAGACGACGTCTCGAAAAGCCAAGCGGTAAAACAAGAAAAAGAACTTAGAATCAGCACATATCCATACACACGCTATTACAGCAGAACTCTCTGAGTATATAAAGTTCTGAATAAACACTCCTGTAATAATGTCATGCGTAGTCACGGGCATTATAATTATTTTCAAGGTGTACACATTTTAGCCATCTGTTAGCCAGGGACTGAGTGGGTGTTCTATTTCAGGAACCCTGTGAAGCATGCAGATGTCTCTGCCTTTGCATTGTGCCTCATTTTGTCCCGGCGGCTATTAGTAGTGACAGCATTCTTTTTCTTCTCTCATCTCCTCCTTCCCTCTTCTTTCCCTCCTCTCCCTCTTTCTCTCTTTCCCCTCTTTGTGTGCGCTGTGGGTCAAATCCACGGCTTTATACTTGCTAAGCACACACTCTGCCCATGAACAATCCCCTTCGTTCAAGACATGCATGCCTTCTTTTTTTATTGTGTTTTTTTTTCTGAGTATAACTTTTATTTTATTTTTATCTTTTCTTTTTAACTATGTGTATGTGTGTCTGTCCGTCTTTCTCTGTATGTGCACATCAGTACCGGTGCCCATGGAGGCTAGAGGAGTCAGATACCCTAGAATAGGGTTATAGGCAGTGTTGAGCAGTCCAATGTGGGTTCAGGGAATCGAACTAGGGTCCTCTGGAAGAGCAGCGAGTGCTTCTAACTGCTCAGTCTCTTTTTTTTTTTTTTTTTTCTTCAGCCCAAGACATTTGTTACTTACTGATCCAGAGTCCAGGCATCAGGATCCCATTGCTTGCAGATTCTATACCTGCTCAGACCCCTTCTCTGGTTTTCAGATGGTGACTCTTTCTTTTATCACTTGTTGTTATTAAACAGAGCCTCATGCAGCTGAGGCTAGCCTAGAACTGCTGATCCTCTCGCCTTGGCCTCATATGTGCTAGGATTACTGATATATGCCATTCACAAACTCTGTGTATGTGCATGAGTGTGTGTGAAAGAGTGTGTGTGTGCACACATGTGTGTGTGTTTGTTTGTGCCGGGCACCCAGGCTCACACACACTAGGCAAGGATTCTGTCACTGAGCTACACCCCTAAGCCCAGATAGCCCTTCCTTGCTGTGTCCTCACATGGCTGGAGGAGAAGAAGCCTAGAAGCATACAAGCGCCCTAATCTCACTGTGGGGCTCCACACTCAGCATCTTATTGGCACTGGAGTCTCCATCCCCAGACACCGTTACTGCAATTAGGGTTTCAACACAGGACCTTGGAGGAGGAAGACATTCACTCCATAACAAAGTGCTTAGAAAACAGCCCCGGAACGGGATGGTGCCTGGACTGGTGTACGCAGAAGCATCTAAGAGCCCTGGCTTCGGCTCCTCTGAATGGTCCCGGGATCAGCTTCACATCCCCCCCACCCCACCCCAGGTCCCCAGGTGATAACAGAAACTCTTTCAAGCTGTCACTGGCTGAGCTACACTCCTGGGAGCTCTGAGCACCTGCACCCCTCCTTTCGATGCACCTTTCCTTAGAGGTCTGAGCTGGAAGCTGAACCCCACCCAGGGGGCCACTCCTAAGTCCCCAGGTTTAAGTAGCACCTCCTGGCCCTGGGTCAGGAGGTCAAAGCTGTTTCTCAAGGCTGTTAGCCCGCAGGAGGCCTGCCCAGCCTTTCCCCTGTCCTTTGCCCATTCTGCCTTCTAACACACTGTCTGTGAGGCCCACTCTTTATTTTGATGTGTGTTTTGCTTCTGACGGGCTCTTGGCTGATACAGCTCCCTTCCCCCACTAAGAGAAGACCTCCCACAGTCGTGTCAGGGTTGGAATTACAGGTGTGTGCTACCACGCCTAGCCTTCTAGCTTCTCTAGAGCACGATGTCTTTGTTTGCTCTGTTTGGTTTGATTTTTTTAATTTATTTATTTATTAAAGATTTCTGTCTCTTGTTTGGTTTGATTTTTAAGATTTTCTTTTATTGAAAACATTTTTGCATAGCATACAATATCTTTTGATCTTATTTCTGCCTCCCCAGATTTCTCCAGAGTCCTCTTGGATCATCTCCACCTCCTAGCCTGGTCTACAGAGTGAGTTCTAGAATAGACTCCAAAGCTACACAGAGAAACCCTGTCTCAAAAAACAAAACAAAACAATTAATAGACCAATATGACAAAAAAAGTACCCCAAATAAACCAAAATGAGACAAAAAAAGTCTACAAAAGTATCATTGACTTTTTTTTGTGTTGGCCCAACTGCTCCTGGGCATGAGGCCTGCTCCAAAGTGAGATTAATATGTTCAGTGAGACTCCATTGGGGAAAATTGGTGTTTCTTGTGCTATCAGGTAGCTGATGGAGGGGGCTCTTGTCTACTTCTCCCTTCCAATCTGACTTGAACCCGTGCGAGCCCTTTGCCTGCTGCCACAGTCTCTGTGAGTTCGTGTGTGCAACTATCCTGCTGTGTCCAGAGGCCGCTGTTTCTACGGAGTCAGCTGTTGCCTCTGGCTCTAGCAAGCTTTTCCTCTTCTCTTCCACACAGGTCCCTGAGCCTTGGGGGTCAGGGTGGATGGAGACATCCCCGTTAGGACTGCATGCTCCCATGCCCCTCACTCTCTGCTTGTGGCCCCATTCATTGGACGTCTCTGTGTTAGTTCCCATCTCTGGCTAGAGGAAACTTCTCTAATGAGAGCTGAGTGAGGCTCTGATCTGAGTCCCAGCCCAGTGTAGTCCCTGGGGTCCCGATAGAAAGGTGACTGACACACAAAGGCATGGGGTCGGCTAGAAGACAAGGCTGAGAGGGCCCTCGCCTTGAGTTTTGAGATGAAGTCTCACTGTGTGGCCCAGGCTCCCTCAAATGCTCATCTAGCCTCTGCCTTCTGACTGCTCAGACTACAGGCTACCATCCCCATCTTAGCAGCCATAGCTTTTGAAATGGTGGCTCATTTTCCTGATGTATTAGTCAAGATGCTTGTTTTCAAACCACACACACACACACACACACACACACACACACACACACACAAATACCTAAACAAATAAATAAAATCCCGACAACAAGATGGCTGACTTGTCCGTGGAAGAAGGGTTTACTGAAGGTGACTCAGGAACTCCGAGACCCCAGAGAAAGACCCGGAGGGTGAATCAGGCATGGAAGAAGGCTTCAGCTGCATACTCCAAAATGACTTACTATGGATCCCGCCCTGTTACCGTCTCCCAAGAAACATGGGCAGCCGGACTCCAGTGGATGCTGGTTGCTGTTCATGGAGTCTGCTGCTCGGGGACACTGATCTCTTGGTGCTCCAGACTCCACGGCAGCCACCCCATCACTTCTAAATGATGCCGTAAGCCTGGGGCACGCCCTCATGATTCTAAGTTCCTGGCCCGAGCCCCTGACTGCCCTTGCTCTGAGCGTTGTTGGGGAGAGTGATTTCTTTTCTTCTCTTCTTGTTTTTTGTTGTTCTTTGGTTGTTCCTTTGGAGACAGTCTCGGATTGCCCAGGCTGGCCTTGCACCGTCTGTAGTCAAAGGTTGGCCTTGACTTCCTGATGCTCTGGCCTCCACTCCCCAAGTTCAAGGATTACCCCCAGCATGCTGCCAGCATCTCTTCCCTTCTAAGTTTTGGTACCATAATAGGAACTGGGACCTGGCCTCATGTGAACTTTATCTGAGTAAGGATGGCTTTGACAGGAGCCGGAGGGATGGCTGAGCATCCTCTGTTCTTGCAGAAGACCAGAGCTTCATTCCCTGCACACATGTCAGGTGGCTCCAGCTCCAGGGGGTTTGCCAGCCTCTTCTAGACTCCAGAGATGTCTGTGTT